GCAACCTCAAGCTCACTGACATAAAAATCCAAATGCTTTCAATGTTGCTATTAAAAAGATGCTTAAAACTAAGCTCCATATAAATTCTATTAAGCAAGCCAGACTCTTACTACTGGAGAAGATGATTTGCAAAAACACTTCACCACTTCACCTAAATGTTGCAAAAAAAACCTTAAAGGTTGGCAAAAACATCTCAGCTAACCATCTATGAAGAAGCATCTGCAAGGAGACAGTAATGAAACAGACAGACCCAGAGGGCTTTCTTAAATGTAGGTCATGCCTGTCAGACCACAGCAAAAGGCACAGTAACATTTGCTGAAGAGAACCCAGAGTTACAAGTGTACACGAAAATTTACTCTGTAGGCAGACACTAACAGTTACACATTTGTGACTGCTGTCTGATGCTTAAGAGGAATAGGAAGGAAAAGCTCCACAGAAGATAACTGTATTGAGTTTAACAGCCATAAAACATGACTTATAACACCTCGCACACTTTTTTCTTTCTTCTGGGCAACACCTTTATGGAAATTTCTATTTAAATCTCATGTCCATTTCACATCATGGGTTGGGGAAGGGCAGGGGACAAGTAGGCACAAAAGGTGATGTAAAACCAGTAATTTCTTTGGATTTATGCCACATTAAGCTGAAGATTTTAATTACCTAATTACTTAGATAAGAAATATTTAAAAGCTTGAGTATTACTACTCCAGATATCTGCAGTGTTCTTTCCTTGATTCACAGTTCGTGATTCTGATTTTTTTTTGTTAGACCAAAAATCCCACAGAAAAAGACTGTCTAATAATTTAAGATGTGGTACATATAAAAGAACATGAGACAGCATAATGGAAGCACTAGTACTGACAGCCTAATCACTGGCTTTTTTTTTTATTTTACTTGCAGAAGTAACGCAGCAAAAAAGACTGTAAGAATTTAATAAAATCTCCTGGCAACCAAGAAGGTCAGGAGATCAAAAGTACAGGTGGCAACTTCACCTTAACATCTACAAATCACACAGTTAACTAAGTATTTCAAAGCATAATACAATGAAAAGGACATTACTCAAAAATACTTCACTGCAATCACACATACATATCTCCTACCATAAAATCAGGGAGACAAAGCAATATTTCTTTCTTTCTAGAGGTAAGACAAGAGAAAAAGTGAGGAACCTCTTTCTGACCGGCAGATAGCTTACGAGCAGATTCACAGTCCACCATGGAACAAAAAAGCAATGCTGTTAAGATTCACCACAGATTAATCTTTCTGGAAGGAAGGTATCAGGTGAACTCAAACATTGTAAACAGGACACAGTAAAGACTGGAACAGATTACTTAATAATAAATCTCCATACTCGTGTAATTCTACAATTGGGCAGTAAAACTTGAATTCAAGCTAGGAGGTTACCTAGTGAAGGAAAGGTTAAGCAGTACAAGGAATCTATTTGCTCATTCTTTTTTCAGCCAGCAGTCATCAATCATGAGTCCAAAACAAGGAAAAAAATATTCTTCACTGGTCAGCAACAAAATTCCTCATTCAAAGCTCAGTTAATACAAGCTATCTGTATGTACATTTCTTCTGCGAATCTACTAATAAGACACCAACAAAAACCAGTATCAGGGTGACATCTCTTTCAGTTTCTAACATAACTCACATGCAGATGCGGTGACACCAACAGAAACACTTTTATACTTATTTACAATTCTATATAGATTAGGGTGTTTAGGAGGAGTGGGGATGTGTCTTTGATTTTTACAAGTTTATGTCCTCAATAAGTTTCAGATTTAAAAACACCATCCACTTGAACTCCTTTGGGCTGAACACAAATCTAGAGGTAACAGCTTTTGGCCTAAATTCATTATAGTATCAACATGAAATACCAGATGTACCAATAGGCTTTACATCCTTATTATCAGTGAAAATGACCTCTGTTAATCATCAGGGTTATTTACTAATTTTTAACAAACAAAAAGGAAAGATTCATTGGGAAGATTTTCCCTTGTCATGTTATTGCAAAGAGTAATCAACACAGTAGCATACCTATTAGCTTTTTTGCCAATAATTGTCTCAACGGCAGACACGTGTATGAACCTCAGTATTACAACTCTTTAAAGTTGCCACGACTGAGTAGTTCAGTGCTTGAATTTTACTTGATTTACAAGCAAACAAAAATTAGTATGACAAATGCGCTGTTAGAGCTGCAATCGTCTGTGGGACTGCAGTCTATTTCAAATACAGAAGTTAAAATCATTGGGCTGTAGTGTGAACAGGGTTGAACGCCAGTATTTAGACCAATTTCTTCTAGGAGCTTTAAGGATACATAAAGTAAGAGAGGGGGTATTGTGGTCAGAATCAAATCTCTGACAGGTCACGACGCTGTTCATTGGAAAACACTTCTGAGGTAAGATGGCAGTTTTCTGACAAAATCTACGGTGATTTAGACCTTCCCGTACAAAATAATGATTTCTAAAACTAACTGCATGCATATACTCAACTAGAAATACAGTTTAAATAAATTGTTCAAGATACATGAAACAGTGCTCACTGAACCATGAAGAATGTGAACTCTTAAGTGAAATGTTTTAAAGGTATTTAATAAATACTGTTCACGAATAGGAGGAAAACAAATTAACAGATTTAACTTTACTAATATCACAAATTTACCTGTACACATTGTAAACCAAGAATAAAAAGAAAGCACTGTGCATTTTTATTTAAACTAGCCTGAAGATAATTATGAATGCACACTCTGGCTGAACTGCAAGTATTCAGATTTTAAACATTAATTTACTTTGACTATGTGCACGTCAAAATGAAAGATTGCTGTCTGGATCCAGACATGCAGTATTAATACTGAACACATGCATTCATTTCAGGTCAGCAGACATTCCAACTCTACTTCAGCAGGTGGTAGGAATAGCACACTAATTAAAATCTGCATTAAAAAGTTCACAAGGGGCTATCTATCCTGAACAGCTCCCATGCAGAAACATGGCTACAACCTAAGTACTTGGTCCACTTTTGCTCAAGTCTGAAAAGAACTGAACTGCCCTTCACGTATCCCACCAATTACATCCCTTTCTGAACACCTACTTTTTCACTCTACCAACAGATTTTTCAAGGCAGCCCAAAGATTTCATGACCAAGTGTTAGATATTAAGGAAAGTACCAAACTACTTCTTCAAACTACTCTCACATTTAGATATCAAAGAAAAAAAAAACAAAAACATTAAGCTAAGCTCATTCCCTATTAGATCTTGTCTCTGGTCACTGAAGACACCGAGTGCCTTTCTTAAGTCATACATCTGAGAACAGTGTAAACAAACTAAAGCTAGCCTCAAGCCCAGATTACCTGTTAAGATACAGAGTTAGTTAATTTTACAGTAAACATGAACCTGCGTGTGGTTTGGTGTTTTTAAATTCTGTATTATACTTTTGGGAGTGGGTTGGTTTGGGGTTTTTGTAGTCAATACACACTACACTGAAGCCTAGAAATAAACTGATATTTTACAATCCAAAAAGTAGTTACAGGCTTTTTTTTTTTTTTTTTTACAAAATATACAGCACTAGCTGCCCATAACACCACATAACATGCACAGTCCATCTACTAGCCTCATTCCTAGTACCTTGTTCCTACAGCTGAATGAGACTACAATGGGACCAACAGGCTGACTGGAAGTAAAAGCTTAACTTGATGGCAACTACAGCAAATGAACTGGGTAGGCAATTAAGAACCCTGAAATGGAACATTCAAAATACACTTTTTGACAGTGACTTTTGTTCCTCAAGTGCAACTGATAATTGCATTTAATACATTCCAAATAAACAGTGATATTAGTCTTTTAACTCAGAAGACAACGATAACTACGTAATTTTTCTTCTTCAGATTTGAATAGACTAGGGATAAAGATAACTAGTCTATTACTGATAGCAAGAACAGAATTTTTGATTCTTTAATTATTCCCATAATAGCACTAAACCTTCCCACAGGGAGCATCAAGATAACAACACCTGCAAAAATATTCTCTCTCCATGTTTCAAAAACCACCCATTTCTCTGTATCCAAACCAATGCTCCATGGAGGGAAATTTAAAGTGCGGCCTAATCCCTTCTCTCTTGAAAACCACCTATAGCAGACACTCTTAGTATTCTTTTCCCCACTAAGCCTCACCATGTGACTTTTCATTGTAATTTGTTAGCACGCTTCACACACCTCTACACACAAATCCCCTGAAGAACCATTAGGTCGACCAAACATTGAAGGGATTTATGCAATTTGAAGGAAGGTTAGATAAAATAATAAAGAAAAAGTCTTACTACTTTAATAACTAGGGTGGAAATTAAAAAGGGTATTCCTACCAAAGACTATGCCCCTCTCTCTCAGATGTCCGACTTAAAAACAGAATTCCCTGTAAAATCAAAGCAAAAAACACCCCCACCAGTAAACCCCTTACCTCCATGGGGTGCTTCAGGAAATCAAGTGTCTTTTCACTTAGAAAACAGACTTAACTTAGGAACTTAAACTGTTTATCTAAAGATGTATGCCAAAACCACTTTTTGAATACCCACTTCTGACAAATATTTCAGCATTTCCTACGTAGTCCTTCGCTTATCACTTTGACGTAGCAACTAAAATTTATCTTTAAACAAGAACAGAAAGTCCAATTTTAACAGTTGTTTGCTTGTTGTTTCGAGCTAGTTTTTTTGGTGGTGGTGGTGGTTGGGTTTTTTGTTGGTTTTTGTTTTGTGTTGTGTTTATTACATTGTTTATTCCAGAATGACATTTTAAAGGACACTCTTCTGCTTTCAAGGGTAACTATGAAAACATTTGTGAAACAATGTTAAAGAAAGTAATGCCAAAAAAAAAAAAACCACAGTAGATTTTGTAGAGGTTAAAGAAAAAAAAAAATCCTATAATGTAGCATACAGAAACATACATGAATGTATGAAGTTCCATTTAAAGCACATCTTAAATCTACCTCATTCATATCAGGCTTTAAATCTTTCATTTTAGGAATCAGTTTATTGAGAATATGTCTTACAACATAGAAAGCACATATGTTTTCAATACTGAAATGTGTCTAGAGTAATTGCGTACAAGTTGGTATCAAATACCACACAGTTTGTTTAAGTCACACACTCCTTGGTGCTAGAAGACATTAACTAGTTCCACACTTTGTATACATTGGAGTGTATCTTGACATAGCTCCTGGTACCTGAAATAAGTGGTAATGGGAGTGGAATTGCTTTTGCAAAAATCTAGACTGCATTAATGAAAAGGAAGAAATAAATCTCTGAAAGCTTAAAACATAGTTTTACAGGGATGAGCTGCTGATCAGCAGCATTTCTCAAGTGTCTTGTTTTCACAAAGCCAACCCTAATTCACATGAGCTTCCAGCTTTTTTTTTTTACTGAAGCTTAACAAAATGTTCCCATTTGCATTAATTTTTCTTCTGAGTGTCCATTAACGGTTAAGTATTAGAAATGCAGAGCCCTTATACTGCAAATACCTTCTTGAATCACAATTTGAGTACAGGTCTAAAGAAAAAACAACATAGTAATAATGATCCTTCAACACGTTCTTCTCCCAAAGCAGTAAGAACCTATAAATGAATTCATACAAACGCATTCTTTTTATTATTAAAACCATTTTCTTACAGAAATGAGTTAAGATACAGGAGGAAGGACCTCAACTTCAACCAACTACATGTTACTAATTCATCCTAGAAACTGCCTTACTGCTTCAATCCAAAGGCTGCAAAAACTTGCAAAATAAGAAGAGGTATATTAAACTAATTCTTTCACATTTTAAACTGAAACTTAACTTCAGAATCACTGTATCATGACCATGGATCAGCAGCTACAGGTATATATACACTACAGCTATGTACTTTTTCTAAAGTGATGAAAGGTTTACCTGAGAAAACAGGTTATCTCAGCTTTTCCACTGTTCACAAACTTCTTACCTCTACCATGCAGCCTCACATAAACTAATTTAGATCACCATGATTTCAATGTCTTTGAAAGTTACATATAGCTAGAAACCATTTTCTGTTTCCTTCTAGTACACAGTCTTTGTGAGAATACTCCCTCAATACAAATGAGGTTTCCCCAAAAACTCAGTGAAAAAGATTATTTTTAATAAAGCATTGCAGCTAAAGAACACTAACTGCTCAGCATTTCCCCAGAATCTTCCTATAAGTGCGTGCGCCAATATCTGATAATATTTTTAATTTGTTTGCTTTTAAAGAATCAAGTTCTATGCCAAAACTTCCATTTTCTCTTCAGTGTGTGCTAGGTAGCGCACAATCACAAGTAATTTAAATTAGTGCCAGGAAGGCAAGTCAAACTAGAAATGTTGTATACACACAATACAAATAATTACTGATATGCTAGAACATGTGTGCGCTAAAGACAGTAACTAGCAAGATTTCAGGCAGTAAATGAAGAATATACCCTAACAAAATAAATCCACATGATCATTACAGTAAGAGACAACTACAGCATTCAGCAACTACATTTGTTTCCCCCTTCCCAAAAACACAAATAAAATACCCTTAACTACACAAAATAAAATTTGTACATGCACACAGAACACATGCAGTCTAGTAACATAAATGTCATTTTAGCACTTCACAGACCCTTTGGAGTTTGTTGTTTGTTTGGGGTATTTTAATGTTATGTAGCGCAAGATGCGGCTGAAGCAAACTTTCTTCTTTTGTTGAAAGAATCCACACTTTTAAGAGTTGCAAACTCTCCTGATATATGTACCTGAGAAGCATGAAAATCTGCCTTGCCAGAGTTTCTAAAATACTTTTAATCATAACAGTAAAGGAAACTAACTGCTTACTATATCGTACTTCCCGCACAGTGAAAACCACTCGCTAACACTGATCATCATGAAGAAGCCTTACGCCATCCTGATTGGACACAGCAAACCCTAGCTGCATCCCACTCCTTCTTGGTACCACACCCGTAAGCTTTATTTGGATACAATCTTCTCCATGAATGAACAACTACTGAGTTTACAATAATATGGCACAGTCACTCTGAAGCCAAAAATCCGATTTTACGGGGGGGGGGGGGGGGGGGGGGAGGGGAGGAAAGGAAGAAAGGAAGTTATAACAATTAGAAGCTTTCCTCACTGAGATAGTGGAAATAAAGAGTTCACATAACTAGCATGAACACACATGGATGACGATCAATTAAGAAAAATCATACAAATCCCTCTGATCTCCAAAGACTTTTACACTAATCACTGCTTCATTTCCCTTATGACCATATTTGAACTGACAACGGATCTCATTTTTTCTGAATAATCTTTTAGGATATTTACACAAGCCTAATGTATGCAGTGCTTCTGCATTATTAATAATTGTGTGGGAAATGAAGGAAAATTTTACCTCACTTGCTAGGGCTGCCTCTGAACTTTCAAGTCCTTTCAAACAACGCAAAATAAGCCCCTGAGCCAAGAGGTCATTTGTAGTGGGATCAATTAAGTGACTAAATTGAAAATAAAATTCAATAAAATGCCATTTTTAACCTAAATGTTAATTTAAACGGTTGTCAAAAATAGGTTTCAAAAATATTTTTGGTGAAAGCACAGTTACACAGTGCCATCTAGCAGTGACTCACAGTACAGTGGTTACTATGATAATGAGTTTGACGCATCAGTTTGAAGAGTCTTACCCATATAAGCAAATTCAAAGAAACCAGTGAAGTGACCCCATGCAATTGCTACAAGCAAACCTGAAGTTGAAACACTACAGATGGAATCTATATCAACTGTTACAATTCTCTTCCCAGTGATCTAAACTCCGGCCTCAAAAGAAGGGGAGAAGGTATTTAACACCTTTCTTTGTTAGCTTATTAATTCTGAAAAAAAGCTTTCTAAAATGTTCTGGAGAAGGTAAGGAAGCATTAGCAGAACTCTTATCACAGTGGAGCCCTGTATAGCTCTTTTTTCAAGTCTGATATCAACATTCACTTTGATTTAATGTTTCTCTAAAGTTTTTGTTCACTAAATTTAAGTGGCCAAGATTTCTTTGCTTGTCATGAATAACACTGCTGAAATATCTGAAGTTACATACAACAATAAATTTTAGTTTCCTAACATACTGGGGGAAGGGGAAAAATAAAGGGATACTTTAAGGACCAAAAGATTGGCATCAAGATGGATTCTTTACCAGATCAAGTTGCACAAAATAGCTGAAGAAATCAATCACTGCACAAACCCCTAAAATAAAGTGTTTCAAGTCTAAAGCTCTAGTTTCACCAGCACATACTTTTAACTCACCATAAGTAAGCCCTAGTGCTAAATGAAAGTCAAGCCATCTCTTGTGCACTCAGTTTTGTTAATGTTCTGCCCTCTTTCTTTCACAATGTCTTAACACATATGCATAGACACTTTTGTCCAACTTAGCAGTAAATCAAACCAAGAAACTAATCTGGTTTTGGACTAAAATGGCCAAGAAAATAGAACAGAAGGTGCCAGAGTATTTTTGAAATTACAGTGGAAACAAAATAAAGGCAAGTAACAGAAGTGTGATGACAAACTCTGGCTTAGCAATTCAGAGTTTAGATGATTTTAAAAAGCTAGGACACCACCACTATGAACAGCAGTCTCCCAAAATGAGCCACAAAAGCAAATCCTTAAAATCCTTCAATCCAGATTTCAGCTGTCCTAGGACCTACATCTGAAATATCATAAACCACAGTTTGAATAAGGCATCAAAAGTCAACCTATTTATCAGATTTGTATACACTAGATAAGTAGACTAATGCACTAGAAGATTACTGCAAATAAACTGGATAACGTCTAGAGGGAATGAACAAGACAGGTCAGAGATCTAGAGAAGGTGACCCATGAGAGAAGCTTTTAGGAATTAGGTCTATTTAGCCTACATATAAGATGCCTATGGAGAGAAGTGACAGCAGCATTCAAATACGTGAAAGGTTGCTATAAAAATGAAAAGAATCAGACGTTCTCCAAGCGCACTAAAGAAAACACAGCCAGCTATAAGCTTGAACTGTGCTGAAAGATCTAGGTTATACATTTGGAAATGCTCTGCAACCAGAAAGGCAGTTAACCACCCAAAAGGGGTTGTGAATTCTCCATGACTGGAGGTTTTCAACAACCAGCTAAAACAAATGGCAGTGAGCGGCCCAGCTCTGGGAAGGAAAGCTCAACCATGCAGGTGCCTTTTGGCATATCACCTATGATAGGCTGCAGAAGTGTAAGAGGAGGCTCTGCCAGTCATGAACACCAAGTTACAACCTATGCCCTACAGGTGGTCAGGCAAAATAATCTTACTTCAAATTCCTCTCCAAGTCTCCTCTGCATCAGTTTACACCCCAAAAATGAACTCTTCTCCCTGTATCTGGTGTCTGGACTGCCAGGTGAGCAGCACCACACTAAGGTGCTGTTAAACTAGAAGAATTACTCCCCTCCACTTACACACACTTCTGCCTCAGTAAAACAAGGAACCACTAACAGCGCTGAACAGCTACAGCTGTAAATGAACCATCAGCCACTTACAAAAGAAAATGCTGTTTTTTCCTGCCATGCTGGGTTTGTACTGGGGTTTGTTTTTTAAAAACAAACACTTTGTTATAGGAGAAGAATCTCACTGTCAAAGTTTTTTGTTACTGTTTCTCCTATTCTAATGTAATGTTACAAAGACTACCTGGAACAGTTGAGAACACATCTAAGAGGCTGTATCAGACTTAAACCTTATTTTCTAGTTAGTAAACTTCCAAAGCATATTCAGTTCATATGCTACTTCCATCACTACCAGTCGTAAGACTCAAATTTCTAGTTAAATAAATACTGGATGCTCAAATTTACCATCAGCTAATGGTCTACATCTTTACATTCACAAAGGATGACTAACATTAACCCATGGTAAGTGAATTTTTAAAAGCATGATAAAGACAAACAGAAAATTGCCAACCCATAAACAAACAAGCGAATTTCAAAAGTCAACTATCACTTAGGGAATCAATTACAAACAAACACACTTTTACCCATAAAGCCCAGCCAACAAAAGCTGAGGGTCCAAAATGCCTAATAAAATCGGCAGCCAAGTGATCTGCCTTCTATTAAATTGCAAGCCAAAAATCTCACTTCTATATACACCAGTGTCTTGTACCAATCATCAGCAATTCAGTTTTGGCATGATTATCTCAAGGCCTATTTATAGTTACCCAAGACAAAGTTTCTGCACAGTTTCTTTCCGTAAGCAAATCCCAAAGCCAAGAATTTGACACAGAAGACAAAAGCTGATGTCTTCTGCCTAAAGAGATGAAGCCTATTCCTCACCCCTCACACTTAATGTGCCAGCTTCAACTGGTAGCACACAAATGAAGCATATCAAAGTGCATACAAGATTCACAGATTATGTTAGGTATGCGTTTCTGCAGACATACTGTACCCTAGCTAAGCAAGACTAGCGTAAAGACTGCACCACCTAAATCAGCTCAATATTCCCACACGCGCAAACATATAAAACCAGATCCTGAATTTGCCTGAACTTAGTTTTGGGAACTTAAGATAGCACTGAACTAACTGCAATAGTTACCACCTACTTGCCTTACAAAACTCAAACAATTAACTACTGATGCCCAACCTGAACACCACCTGCTTTGACACTATTAGCTAAACTCATGGATTTTATTTATGGTGTAGTCACACATTTCAACAGATAGAATTTTTCAGCAGTCTTTATAATATTCAGTGTCTTGGTGTTATACCCACTGTAAGACAGCCTACAGGATTACTGAAATAAAACAAAATTTAAAAGCATTCCTTAATGAAAATAGGCAGGTGGTCATTTGATTATAAGCAAAATCCTCAATTAATGCTTCAAAGTCCATATACAAAGCCAACCTCCCCAGATCAAGCATGAAGAAGAAAGGGGCTTCCAAATGGAATAGTTCCTTCAAACAGGTGAAATTAACAATTATACTTTATGAATCTCAAGCCCATTACACGGACTGTTTGGAAGGGCAGCTAAATAATTTATGTTTTGTGTTGGACTCAAGGTAAAAAGTAGTAACTGAGACAAAACAGAAGTACGAAACACAGACCTTTCTAGTGTTCAACAACAAAGCTGCCATCTCAATGGACGTAAGACCAGAACAGCAGCAAATAATTTACGTTAAAGCCGATTTACCTGGATGCACACGAGCGCGCTAGAAATTTGCATGCTAAGCCAGTAAGCGAGCAGCACGACTCAGCGGGGAAGGAAGAGTTAAGAGCCCTTCCGGCCCCTCTACTTAGCCAATGCTGCCACCTGCTGGCCGCCGCCGGTACACCCTGCCTCTGCCCAAGGGCCCCGCACCGCCTTTGCCTTTGAGCGCAAGAGGCAGAAGGCCCTAATGAAAATCACGGACGATCTAAGACAGCGGCAGACACACTCCAACGACGGGATGGGATCCTGGGAGCGAAAAATACCTACATGCACTGTTACTTGTCTGCTGGGTGACAGGGCCGGTTCTAGACCCGGAAGCCACAGAAACACTGACCAGGCTTACATGAAAAGGTTGGCCATGAAAAAAGAAATATGAATTACTAATCACTCAGCTCTGTTAGGCCAGGGAGGAGAGCAAAGTACTTTATTTGCCCCCATCAAAGAGGAAAAGCACCAAAACCAATTTGTGTCTCCTATCTGTTTAGTGAGTTTCTACTGTCCCCAGTCAGGCCCCATAATCACAAGGCAGTCTTCACATACCCTCGGGCCTGACAGAAAGAGAACAGTATAGGTTAATGCCAGGTATTTGGAGACACAGCACAATTCAAGATCAGTTGTGCTACTTTCGAAATTCTTATCAGCAACATGGCAGAAACTAACTCACTTAGGCCTGCCTCCCAACACCTCACCTCACCTCTCTGGAATAACATAAAGCAACAGCAACTCACACATGCACAAGCACTCACTGCAACTGCCAAAAAAAAAAAAAACATTCCCAAAATATATTAAAAGCATCTCAATGCAAAGTTGTGCAGCACAGGGTGACTATAGCAAGTTCAGAGAACTTCATCCCAATCAGCACTGTCCCAAAAACAAGGAGCTGGCACCTAAGCTTTGGCTTTCATCGCAAATGAAGCTGTAGCCAAATTCTAGCAAGTACCTGCAGCAAACATCAACCCTCCTCCACTACTCCCCAGTCACCAAGGGTAACAAGCAAGTCTTTTTCAGGGGCTCCTACAAATGCTCCTGACCAAAACGAGATCTTGTTCCTACCTGTGAGAGTAAAATCAGTAGATCTGGTCTGTTCTCCCATTAGCTTTATTAATATTCTATGAATTATTACTTGTAGCACAAAGAATCATGAGATATGCGAGGCTAATGCCTCAGTAGAGCACTCCATGAAGCTGCACATCACCTGTGAGTCTATGTTGAGCTCACTTCATCACTGCTATTTATGCTTCATTTACTGATTGCTTAACCATCTACTACAGGGACACACTCCAGACAGAAGGATGCATGCTACCAGAAGTTGAAATTTGCCTTTCACAGTTCAATCCTTTTCAAATTCATTCTTCTGTACTACACGAAGTTCAGCACTGCCAGAACTAAACCTTACTGCACAACCACAAGAGCATGCAACCAATTGATCTGCCACTAGAATTAACCCTAAAAATGTACGCCTGCTTAAGTTTACCTATGTAGGCTCTGTACAAGTGTCTCTGAAATTACTGTGCATGTAGGATTTTATTTAGGCTCCCAGGCCACCTCCCAGGTTTCACTCACCAGCCCTGTGACTGTGAAACGAAAGCACTAAAAGGGGGGGGGGGGGGGGAACCTAACAATTCTTAGATGGGCTGTAAAATAGATTACTTTTAATGGGATAAAGCAAGCAAGCAGCACACTTGTCAGATCAAGTTCTAATGGCAGCAATACAGGAAATCTCCAAGGGAAAAAACACACATGCTAGTTCTTCCCAGTTCCCCCATAAACAGAGAAAACGTTTTGCAGTTTGAGAATTAGAGGAGTTCTAGCCTGTAACTCAGAAAAGATCCTCAAAGCTAGCATCCCAATTAACAGAAAGTTGCCTCACGGGAATAAGAAATTGATATTGAGGAAACCAAGGTAGAGGTCATGTATCTTGTGCTGTGCTACAAGTCAGAAGTGGTAAGTAACAGAACTCTAGCCACAAAAGGGCTAGGAAGTTTTACAGGAACATAGGAGCAGTAATACACAGCTGCCAAACCCACAATTATACATTAGCTTACAGGGACCTGAGTAACATGCACTGCAGATCAGTCACAGCATGATGTATTAACTACACTGGTGGACAGCACCCCAACAATATCCAGACCCACCTTCCCATTCACTACCTTATAGGACACTTCAGGCTGCACTGGGAATACCTGTAACCCCCCCAAAGAACCATGAATTCTTGATAGTCTACATTAATGCAATTCCATGCTCCATCCCAGGAATAACACCTTCTGTCTCATTTCACACTCTCATCCTTTTAACCATCTCACCATAAAAGTTTCAGATTCTCAACAGATAACAAAAAAGCCCTTATATCTCCTTGTAAGATGGCTCTTGGTAAATCCAACTGTGGCAATTACTTCAGCAGCAGTAAAAGACTGAGACTAAACATAACACCCACCACACCCACATCCCAAACATTCACACGCTAACTGTGCAAGTCACAGGAGGGTTTAAAGGCCCAAGCACCAAGAACCAAAGCACAAAGGAAACTTGTAACAAGCAGCAACTTAGACCTTCTGAAAGCAGGAGACCATATAGCTGAAACTGTTAAGACAATTACCTTGTTTTACCAGCAGTTTAGAGAAGTTACTTTACTGCCTCTCTCAGTATCAACAACTGAAAGCTCCTATTCTCCAGATTATTAAACAGTGTGAATCTGAAAAAAAGAATGCTGTTGCAGTAGTATTTATGCAAGTAAGGTTATCAAGCAATGCAAAAGTCATACAGGATTGTGACTCCACAAGTTACAGACAATGAAAGAACTCTTCAGCAAGGGTACAGAACACAGGATTTACACCTCGGTTAACCTTTTTCCACTGCTCAGCTGCTTCAGAGATTCAGTTTTACCACTACAGTGTTTTCAGAGAAAACAGAAATGCCTCTCATCACCAGAAAAGTCCTTCAGGTTACTATATGTATTTAAACCACTCCCCATACACTCCCACTTCCCCCCCCCCAAAGGTTATAAAGTATCTTTTTTTCCCCCTAAGCCGTCACTGTAATCACAATGTTTGAAAAGTACAAATCTAAAAGCTAAGACTAAACTTGAATTCTCTGATAAGGCTAAATATCAAGCACTTACAGAGCAGCTAATAAAGATTTGTCTTTTAGCTTAAGAAGAGAATACTAAAAATACCTCATAATGAGGACGGCTCACAGCACCCCAAAATTACACAGTAATCACTACCTTCTACATGATACTGATGAAGCAACAGAGAAGCATTATCAGCAGGGGAGAGAGAGGAAAAGGGAAAGACCAATTGCCGATTCTGAGCAACTAAAAGCATACACAGAAAAACAGCAGACCCCTAGTCAAAATACTTCATCAACCACTACACAGGTGGCAGAGAGCTTATT